TAAAGAAAGCCTAAACAGGGCTCTCTTTACAGGAAGTGTTTATGGAAGACTGTGCAAGTCAAATGCAGGGAGGTGTGACTAGGGTTCATAAACAAAGGGATTTAACTCCTAAATGGCAGAGGATTGAGCAGTGAGGCTGCAGGGGCATGTTCTATACACCAAAACTGCTTCATTAAGTTAAAGTTGTTCAGGTGACTATAGTGTCCCTTTAACAAAATCACAACTGCTTTAAATTCAGATATTTAAAAGGTACTTGAAGCACCATCACCACTACATCAGTGTAGTGGTGATGGTGCTTCAAGTACCATTTAAATATCCGAATATAAATCACAGCTTTTTTTTTTTGTCCTAGGCGCCACCATCTTTGTATTCATGGATCACGTGTACCGCAGGGCCTTCATTTGCCCACACTAGCTCGCACAGTGAAATTTGCATACATGCCCAGTTCTAGACGCGGGTGTTCGCTTTTGTCCGAATTTCGGAACAAATTTCAGCTATTCGTCTATTCATCAGAAAGACGAATTAACAAATAGAAATCACAACTAGAAAAGCTACAATTTCTGGGGAAATTGTGTGAAGTGTTCTTGCCTCCATCAGTAGTCTACAACTGATAGTGGGCTTGGTAACTTATTATTTATTTCTATAGCACATTTAATTGCAACGTTGTTGCCCAAAGTGCTTCACAGTTACATTAAAGCATACATTTATAAAAACATTAGCAGGTGTACAAAAGTTCCTGTCTATGGCATCACTTGCTGCTCCAGCCTGGCACAGGTCAGAGTATTTTTGATGTTCCATCTTCAAACGGTCGTGTTTTAAAAACTATAAATCCTACAGCGAAGAGCTTTATATTGTGAGAATCACAAGACCCAGACCTACATTTTGAAGCATAGTATGTCTCTGAAATATTATAAATGAAGGCACAGTCACAGTTTAGAAATTGCCCTTCAAATTTGAGCTGGCTAGAGTGGAGTTTCAATGAGTCGTGGGGTCCAGCCACAGAAGGGCTGAAAGGGGCCTGCCTGCGTGGTGTGTTTCGATGGCCTTCCAGGGTTTGCTAATCCCCTCTTTTGCCCATTCCAGGGCCCGTTGCATGTGGCATGATTGGTAATACAATTTGAGGTCAGGAACGGCCAGGCCTCACGCTGTTTTGGGGAGTGTCAGTTGTGTGTATTTGAGTCTGATGCATAGTATGTCTCTGAAATATTATAAATGAAGGCACAGTCACAGTTTAGAAATTGCCCTTCAAATTTGAGCTGGCTAGAGTGGAGTTTCACTGAATGTCAATGGACGGCGTGAGTTGCAAACAAATGGTCATATTGTGAAAACTATCAGGACTATGGCTTAGCCATGGACATGTTTAGTGGCAGCAGGTATAGCTGAACATTTTTATATAAGATTTGTGTAAGTGGGCTTGAAAATGAGGGAGTGGTGGCAGTTTAGAAATCATGTCCTGATTTTTCTGCTTTTGCCAACTCCCACTCTAGTTTTTTTTTTTTTTTGTGAATGTTTTTATTGAACTTTTACCTGGAAAAGAAAAACGTGGACTCGCAGGTCCCTTTGGTTATTTGTATATGCTTATACATCGTAAGGTACGGTCTGTAAGACGTGTATTGGCGACTCGCAGGTCGCTTTTTGAATAAATGGCGTGTGTATGGTGGACTCGCAGGTCCGGTAGTACATAGTTATGAATAGTACTCTCATGTTTAAAGTGTGTACCATTTCTACGTTGGGTAGGTTTGTAGCTCCTGCAGGTTTTCGTCTATTCCCCCGTGCCCACAAGGCAGTAGTGAGACGTGGGCCTCCTAATGTGTAGGGTCCCATCAGGACACGCAGACCCCTTGTGACCTCGTGTCTAGAATCCTGAATGGCGGTATAGTGGGGTGTTGACCCCCTACTTTAGTACGATTCGGCTCTGCCCAGAACTACATATGGCGTTGATGGGGATAACCTAAGGGGCATCCTGCGTTTCCGTCTAAACTAAAAAACTTTGTAGCTCACGAAACTGGTGCGCTTCCACACCCTGCACCCGCAAGGCCGTAGGCCGTTTTGGGTATTGCAAGCGGCCGCACCTTGACAGGTGTCATAGCCCCCCCAGTACGCCCCCGTGGGGCCGACCTCCGCACCGCCCGCGGTCCCCCGAGCCCACGCTCCGCCCGGACCTGACAGGGGGTAGAGGGGTGGGGTAGGGTATGTACTGTGGTACTGTGCTTTGAGGGCAGGTGTGGGTTGTCCTGTTAGTCTCCTGGTGTCTCCTCCTGGGGATTGTCAGTTCCTCCCACCATGGTCAGATACACAGTCCGAAATGCCTCCGTTCCCACCCGTGCCAGCCAGGGTGTCCATGTGTCTAAGTATGTCTGCGCTCATTCTTGGGCTGTATACCAGATCTCCTCTGTAACTCGTAACTCCTCCATTCTAGTAAACCACAGGGAAAGCGTTGGGGTTGTGTCTTTTTTCCAGTACAAAGGTATTCGGTGTTTTGCGACATTAAGAATTCGGATGGTGAGGGAGCATTTGTATCATGGTGTGGGGGTTGTCGTGTGGTGCAGGAGGTAAAGGGCGGGCTGGAAGGGTGGGACATTGTCTGTGAACAGGGCCACTATGGCAGCTATTTTCTCCCAGAACGGTACTATGAGTGGGCATTCCCACCATATGTGGAGGAAGGATCCTACCCCTCTCTTGCACCTCCAGCAGAGGCCGTCCGTGTCTAAGTGCATTCTCTGTAAGCATTCTGGTGTCAGGTACCATTGCGTGAGGACCTTGTAGGCAGTTTCCTGAGTTTTGCAAGCGATTGCGCAATGATGCACTAGGTCGCAGATCTTGTGCCACTGGGTCTCGGTGAGTGTTTCCCCTACGGCGGTCTCCCGTTTGGACATGAAGGGGGGTGGGGGGTGTCCCTGTTGTCGTTGTAGCATAGAGTAGAGGTAGGAAATGCTATGGGGCATGGGCTCTGGGTCCTGGCACAACTGTTCGAATGGCGTAAGGTCCCTGTACACGTCGGGGTGTTGTGGTATGGTGGTAATGTAGTTCTTAATTTGGGTGTATCTAAATGTCGTCATGAAGGGGTGGGTGGGTGGGTGTGCCCGTGAGCGTCCGTAGGGGCAAGATTTTCCCATTGGCAGTTATTTCTGGGAGTTTGTGGGAGGACGCATCGGAGGTTTCCTGGTCTTATCCCCGGTTCAAAGTCCGGATTGTACACCAGAGGTAATAGTGAGGATGGGAAGGAGGAGAGACCTCGCTTGTGCTTGTGAGTGCCATATGGTTAGAGTGGCGGTGATGAAGGGTTGTTGGTAGACTGTCTACCAGTCGTGGGGTCCAGCCACAGAAGGGCTGAAAGGGGCCTGCCTGCGTGGTGTGTTTCGATGGCCTTCCAGGGTTTGCTAATCCCCTCTTTTGCCCATTCCAGGGCCCGTTGCATGTGCTTGGTAATACAATTTGAGGTCAGGAACGGCCAGGCCTCCCGCTGTTTTGGGGAGTGTCAGTTGTGTGTATTGGAGTCTGGGTTTAGTACCCTTCCAGATAAATTTAATGAGGAGGGTGCGGATTGCTGAGAAGAAGGTGGTAGGGAGTGAGATTGGTAGTGTCTGGAATAAGTAAAGTACCCGTGGGAGAATGTTCATTTTGGCGATGGCAACCCTGCCAAGCCAGGAAAAGTGAGGTGTGGCCCATTCCATCAGATTCTTCCATATGGTTCCCAGCAGTGGGGTGAAATTCATATGGTATAGTTTGGATAGGTCAGCCGTGAGCCTCACACCCAGGTATTTAATAGTGGTGTCCCGCCATTGAAAGGGGAAGTTTAGTCAGATTTGGTCTGTCCTCCTCCAGGCGGGGCCAATGTTGAGGATTGTCAGAGTATTTATATCGGCAGACATCTTGTGCTATGATAGAAATTAAAAGTGTATATGCTGAGTCACTCAGAACAGAGCAGACTCCATTTTGTTATTTCCAAGTTAACAAAAGACACAAGATTTCTATCTGTAAAACTAACCACTTTCCCAGAGCTAAAGGAATGCATAGTATATACAAACCAAGTGATAAGGAGAACGGGGGTTGGACAGACTGTCTAAATGCTAATGGAATAGATGCATTCTAAACCCAGACATTTGTGACAGAGGAGATTAAATAATAAAATTTTACTTTCTATATGTACAAGACCCCATTGTAAGTTTAAGGTGAAACATAGTTCATGAACTGCCATTTTAGAAATTATAGCAGGAATTGCGGACACTAAGTCTGGACAAAACTAAGAGAAACTGTTTGATCTGACAGAAAACGTAAGTTATGGCAACCATATAGATAAGCCAAAATGACGTCAAAATAGCCACCAGGAAAAGTTAACTCTTTCCTGGATAGGTATGTTTAGTGGGACAAGACTGCCCTCTATAGACCAAATACCTAAATTGTGATCCCTAGATAACCACAGCCCCAGTGTTTCTATTGGTCTAGCAACTAGTGAATTTTCCCTTTAAAAAGTTAAGACAGAGGAAAGTTGGGAGAGAAGAAAAAAGAGAGGAGGAATTGGAAGTTTGGGGACTCCAACACGGACATGCAGAGAGGAACCCAGGACAACATCTGAGACTAACACTCTACTCTTAAAACTCTAACACTTAGAATTTTACTGACTTTCTAACCAACACCACCTTTCACCATAACTCATGCACCTACAGACATCCAAATAAGTTCCTGAGACTATCTACCAATCGGATGAAATATCTACTCAACTGGTAATTATACTGATTTCATTTAATTAATTAAATTAATTAAAATGTATTAATAGCATTATATATGACTGGATAAAGCACGGTCAGATTTCCATATTAAGAAATCTTAGTTAACTAAAAGAATATATAGTTATAAACATTCCATTCTGCAGGTGGAATTAAGAATAATTATATATTAATGTGATATTATCACGTCTTAGCATACCGCTGTTTTTATCCAGGTGTATTGATTTGCTCTAATATAAGATAAGATATCTTTTTAGGCGAATTAAAAATCTGCTTATAAAAACATGGTAGATTCTCTTATTGGATGGTTCCAGGAAATGACTAATGAACTGGTTTAAATGTTATTTTATTTAAAATTACATAAGAATAGATCTTAATTACTTAGGAGGTCTAGCCAGCATTGAAAGGGTTATTCAGTTGTTTTAACTGTTAGCTAGAGTTTTATGGCCCTTCGCTGTGAAAAGCTTCGCTTTCTCTCTGTGAAAGATAGTCATAAATCGTGTAAGTCTTGACAGAAAATCCTGTTTAACCATTGAAACGTGTATAGCCATTCCTTTGTATTGCATACCATTTTATACTGGATAT